TAACTTCCACTAAAACATGGACCAAAGGAATTAAATTTGTGTTGCAGGAAGAGAAAGCAGCTGATGGTTTTGCTCCATCGTAGTGAGTGACTGTCACCAGAAAGGACAGTGCAGTCCTGAAGCACTGAATATAAGCGTGAAATCTTTATTTATGTTTGTGACCCTTCAGAGCACTTCCCCACCACCACAAACCTGAAGATCCCAGGCTATCAATGTGTTCACTCTCACAAAAAAAGGACATGATCAGGGAGGGCTCTTCTTGTTATAACATGAGAAGCCAAGTCACAGACTGGTGATCAGATGCTTCAGGGAGCTTTTTGAAGGCCAAGGAACCCCTCAGTGTCCACACTGCCAGAAGTGTCCACACACCTCAGAAGTGACCACATTTCAAACTCACACTCAAGAAATACTCTGCTTGTCTCCATGATTGAGACACCACAGCCTTTAAACGCAGGGTGATGCTGCAGCATCATCTTTCTTGCCCATCGTGGTTTCCACTAAGTGAACATGTCCCCCCATGTCAGAGCCCATCCAGCCTCCAGACAAGCACAAAAACTACAGTTTTTCCAACTACCCATCCAGCAGCACTCTCCTTCCAAACCCAGCCCACAACCACAGCTTGCTTTGGGCCATCATGACATCAGGTCTCAGCAGGTCCCATGAGCAAACGTGGCCTGACACAGATGCTCTAAGACATGTGAGCAAAAGGGATTCAAGGAGGCTTTGGGAAACGCGTCCCATGTCCTGATGAGCTCTGCTATTTAATCACATAGTTACAACACAAGATGAGAGTGTAAATGGTTGTGTGACTACATTTAAGAAGAAATATTCTACATGAAAAAAGAAACAGCCATTTGCTGAGCCACAGATGCCACCACAGCATTAAAAACTTCAAGAGGAAGGAATTAAAATAAAGCAATGAGGAAGCACGTTTCATTGCTGCGGGATTCCTGCATAGGTCTGGGTCAGTGGCTGGAGCTGGACACCTGTGGAGGGTGGGAAGGCTGGAGCAGGCTCTGTCTGTGGTGTTGGCCAGCCCTGGCTCTCCAATTGATGGAGGCAGCACTAATCAGGATCGCCAGAGAAAACAGCTCCATTAGATGCAGCCCAGAACACATACAGATACTGAGGCAACAGACTCATAAACACACCACAGCCATTAATGCATGCCTAACCTCTGCCTAAGGCTTTCAGCCTCTTAAAAATACAGCTGATTTGATCTGAAAGCTCCTTTTAAATGCTACAGCAATTGAATAGGCAAGAAAAGTTAAAAAGAAACACTGTATCTTAGAAAAAAGCTCATTGTAGAAACACTATGGCAACTCAGGGAAAAAAGGAGGGCGAAAGAATGGTGATGTATATGGAGAAAATACCACCATCACTAAGGAAAACTAAAAAAGGGACACTACACTATAATTTTAACAGCTTATTATTACTTTCTATTATCATTACAGATTATACTTCAGGATATTTTACATCTGCATTTAATGTGAACAAATGCACATTCACAACTAGTTGAGATCCAAAACAAGCAGGAAGAAAGCACACTGATTTCAGTGTTAAACGGCCACACTTTAATGCCAGTTGGAAATTTTTTCATTTCTTTCCTCTCATTTGCATCCAGGACTTGCAGAATGCTCCTGTCCTGGGCCTCAGTTTTCCTGATGTGTGAAATGTTGATGTAAGGTTCACTTCTTTATTTTCCTGCCCAGCTCCTGTATCTTTGCTGCTTGTTTCACTGCAGAAATCAGTGAGCCCTTGGTTGCATGCCACTGTTCTGGGAGGTGGCAGAAGAAGGGAAAGTTGCTTCAACTAACACCCCAAATCAATAGCAGCAAGGGAAGTGAAGTGGTAAAATCAGGAAATGGGGGAAGAGAGAAAAGTAGGACACCATGAACATTTCTGTGAGCCTCAACTGCGAGTGTACAGGAAGTTGGCAAGGAAACAGTAAAAGAAAAATAAGAAATTTGTGCAGTACCTATGGTGGTGGCTAAATGGACACCTATTCCTGATGAAAAACGTTGACAAAGAAATGTGTGACTCTAGAGAATTGAATAAGAACAGAGATGGAAAATACACAAACACAACAGAATCTAAAATAAAATAGGGTACACAACAGGAGTATGTATAAAACAGCACAGGCAAATGCAGCAGAGGGAACAGAGAATCTGACAGATAAAAATATGGATTTGAAAAGAATAAACAATACCCACATGGAAAGCAGAAAAAGAAGAAAAAATATTTGCAAAAAACATCTGGAGTCAGGAGCATATTTTAATTTCTGATTTTTTTAAGCTCCCTGTTTGCTACTCTCATTTGAATTTTGAACTTTCTTCCCTCCATAAATTGGGGAACATATAGGAGAATTAACACTTCCACTGTGACTGACCTTCCACTGATATTCTAACTACAGATGATGCTCATGTATATTCAGGTACAGTAAGCTGTAAACAACATGAAGACTGAAAGAAAGAAGGCTGACATAGGCAAGGAGTGGCCCTCTTTCTGATAACCTAAGTATTTTTAATTATTTCTCCTCCTGTGTCCCCCATACCTCCTTTAACATTTCTCAAATGCATATTACACATAAGAGCTAAGTTTACTACAGGGGCCTGTTTCAGCATGCTTTAGACATCAGCAGAGGTTCAGGTATGAATACTAAACTGATATTTTTTCCAGAGGCTAACTAAAATCTTGAACCTTACTGCTTACAAGAATTTAATAACTTTTCAACTACAGAACTACTATGGTCTAAATATACATGCAGAATATAATATGGAGAGTAAGAACTGCAAAAGAAAAAAATATTTACAACCTTCTGAATGAAAGATTTTTCACAGGAATGATAATTAAAAATATGTTTTAAATGTTGCTCTGGTATACCTAGCCCTCTTTTTCTTTGATGATCTGCAAATGATATTTCAGAGGTAGTTTAAAAGTTGATTTAGATATCATGATAGAAGCCAAACATCTTGATTTCCTTGCAGCCTTCTTCCTTTCATTTTGCACAATTTGTGATAGAACACCTTTCATATTATAAAAAGTGAAGCTCTTCAAGAAAAGTTAATATTAAGTTGGATTCTGGCACTCTTAAGAACAATAAGAAAGCATTTTGACAGTCTCACCATACACATACTTGTGCAATATCATCCAAGACAATAAAGGAATAAAAATGACACTCAGCTCAAAACAGACAAAATGTTAAACATGTTTCTGTGTCTATGTGCATATACAAAAATTCTACCTACAAGTTTCCTTACACATACAAAGCTGCAGCTCATAAAATCAAAGGCTTAACTTCTCTTTTCATAGTAAATGTGTTTACTTTTTTTAAGATGACCTGAAATTTATACTCTAAGGACAATGGTGATGTTTTAGAAACTAACTGTGGCCACATCATTAACCTGCAAAATTAAAACAGGTTTGTGCAGCCTACTTTCAGTAAGGTATAAATATGTATACAAAATTTCTACTACCAAGAAACATTTCAGTGTTGAGGATTTGGTGCTTTTCAGCAGGAAATTCTTCCTCTATAACTGTTTTAAAATACAGTTGTTATAAAATCATACTTTTAAAGCAGCCTCTTGCCTTCTCCTTCCAGCAGCACAGTGTCTCCAGTGTCTGTAACCACCAGAGATTCACGTGTGCTTTTTAACTAATGTCAGTGCATGTAAAGAAATTGCCACTGTTTCAAGTTTATCTACAAGTGAAATTTTAGTGTCATTGCAACCTGAACAGTTCATCTTTACAGCAGAAAAACTTGCAGCAACTGCATGCAAACTCTTACACCAAACCACAAAACATTATGCTCAATTACTAGGAGCTGAATTACTTAACAAAACACTTCTATTTACTCTATTATTTATTCTTGTTTCACTTCAGGACAGAAAAGCAAAGCAACTCCTATGTTAAAACAGCTATGCTAAAAGACTACTTCAAAAACTCATTAGTGAAAGCCACACACTGTAAGTTTACTATTATTCAATATTTCCTCATGGAACGAAGTTCACAGTGCTACTGCCTTACAATGCTTCTCTGTTCCAAAAGGCTGTAAACACATCTGGAGAAACTTCATTCCCAAGTACTCATTGTTTTATGAGGATTAGCTGTTGTGCAATTGATGTATCTTCAGTACTTTATGCTTGGTTATTAAAATGTTCAGAGCTACCAGTTATTGGGAAATCCACCTTTTAATATCCAGGTGTGTGAAGTTTGTCATTTGCCCTTACAGTAAACTGGCAGAAGCAAGGCCATGCCTGGAGTGCTGTGTCCAGTTCTAGGCTCCTGAGGACAAGAGAGACATGGAGCTCCTGAAGCAAGTCCAGTAGAAGGCAACAAAGATGATTAAAGGACAGGAGCATTTCTCTTTGGAGGAAAAGCTGAGAGAGCTGGGCCAGTTCAGCCTTGAGAAGAGACAATGAGAGGGGACCTCACCAGTGTCTCCAAGTATCTGAAGGGAGGGTGCCCAGAGGATGGACCAGGCTCTTGTCAAAGTTTCCAAGCAACAGGACAAGAGGCAACTGGCAGAAACTGATGCACAGAAAGTTCCACCTGAACATGAGGAAGAACTTCTTTACTGTGCAGCTGACCACGCACTAGAACAGACTGTCCAGAGAGGTTGTGAAGTCTCTCATTGGAAATATTCAAGAACCATGTGGACATAATCCTGTGCCATGTGCTCTAGGATAACCCTGCTTTGGTAGGGTGGTTGGACAAGATGACCCACAGTGGTCCCTTTCAACCTGAACCATTCTGTGATTCTGTGAAGTGAAATTATGCTACTAAAATGTAGTAACAAGTAGTAACAATGGCAATATCAAAGCCTACAATGCTACTCAAGAAAGTAACAGAAGAACCTAAAATATTCCACTACAAATTAACTCAATACCTAAAATAATATTTTTGCTATAATACATCCTCTTAAAAACTCCACTGCAAAATTCCATTTCACAGGCACCATGTCTTGGACAAATGTAATTTAAGATACAGTCATTACTTACTGGTTTAGTGTCACATCTAAGATGAAAGATGATCCAAAAGCATCAACCTGGAAGCTGGCTCGAGCAATGTGGGTAGACTGCAATATGGAAAAGACTGGAATTATTATTAAGTCATGGCAAAACCTTTTGTACTGGTTTGAGAATGCTGAAACAAAATATATACAGTAAGTAAAAATATGTTATTAATCAAATAAAATTGCATTGAAACAGACAAAGCAGTCTATGATAATGAATAAAAGATCTGTTTTCTGAATCTATGAGACTAATTCAAGAATTACCAATAACACAATCTGTGACTCAGAGCAGGCCCCCATCTTAACCCATCTATGCCATAGGAAACGGCTCTTCAAATTCCCATCCTGGGCAAAACCCAGCAAAGGGAAGTGAGACCTGCCCTGGCTCACATGTTCCTTACACTGACTCCGGACACAGACCAGAGAGAACAGCTGAGACCGTATGGGCTTGGTCAGACTCAATGTACTCTCATGGATCTCACCAACACTGCCTGAAAGAAACTGTTCATTCACACAGACTCTCACACAGGGGATAGCAATGGGCTAAAATATAATTAGCTGTATTTTCTGTAAAGCTCTGACTCACAGCCATCTAAAACATTTCCAAAACTCCAAACTCTTGAGCAGCTACTAAAACCAAAGAAAAATGGGTGGTAGAGAAACAGCTTGCTTTCTTGCTTGCTTTTCTTCTTTTCTTTACCATATATTCTCCCCAAACTAGTTCCTTTAATTCAGTCCTATAGCAGGCAAACATGGGAACACTTCATAACTCCCAACTGCCAGAAACAAGAGGGTTTTTTCTAGTAGTAGTGGAAGAAAATACTCAGCTATCCAATAGAAAGCAACACTTGTTTCTAGACTTGAAAACACCCAAGAAACGGAACAGCCATGTTATTTAACTAATTAATTAGACAAACTACTTGAAGACATTTTGGAACAGTATCAACTTTGTTGCTATTTTGTTTCCATTGAAATGTGAACATTAAGATTTGAAGCATGTAGACAGAGGACCTACGAGGAAACGCTGAAGAGCCACTTACTACTCTAAACTATACTTCTCCAAATAAATATAATACAGGATAGTACAACTGTAACAAATTATTTCTTGAAAACTCTGGGAAACACGGGACAGGATGGGATAATGTGAATCATCTAATTAACTCTTTCTAAAACTACTGGCAGGCTTTCAATAGGCATTGAATCCAGAAGAGCTGAGAATACCAGCTTCCTTGGAAAAGAACAGCAGCAATAGAAAGGAAAATTGAGAGAATCGTGACATTTTTGTTTATTACATCTTTTAGTTGCTCTACAGCAAAATTTTCTTGTTATGACTACATACATAAGCATAAGTATTAATAAATAAAAAAGAAAACAACATGAATACATATACACAAACAGATGAATCCTTTAAAAAACCCAGAAGTCAGAAAAGTTTCTCTTAATAGACGATGCTCAGGCTGAGGGCTCTCTATAAAAATGCTTGGCTGTGTCACTACTGTGGAGATGCATGCAAAATTGCATGACAAGAGACTCTACACATTTACATTACACTTCAGAAGGATGCAGTAAAACTGGAAAGCTCCTTAGAAGGCACCTCAATAGATATAACTTAGTGTCAGCTATCCTTTTGTCTATCCCCACTACATTTAACCTGCTTTGTAACACAGGCTACCAGGTCTTTGCTAAGTGGTTCTTGTAATTTCTGGATAATTTATCATCTTTTTTGAACAAATGTACCATTTTTGACCAAATGAATATACATATATATGTATGTATGTATGTATGTATGTATATGTATCTATAAAGCATGAAGAAATTAAAAAGCAAATAAACAAACAAAGAATACACATACAGCTGGCATCTGCAATGACACCCACAGAATGTACAGACACCCACAGCACATATGGCACCCACATGCAGGACCATCATTTAGCTGGTTTTGGCCTGCAGTAGCTAGTGCAACCATAAATACAGCAAAAACAACCATCAACAAATTATCACATTACCATTGTTGTTTCTTTTCCACCTCTCAGGCAGCAGAGTCTGCTTTGAATGATTTTAAAATTTCATCTTCTCTTGCTAGATGTGAATTTTCAGGCTGCTGTTCACAGGATGTGACAGGCCAAGAATTAAGTAAGGTACAAGGGACCAATGGCAGTTCTGTCATTCCCTTGTTCCACTGCAGCCCATTTGCTGACCTTAGCTAACCTTCATTCATCCACCTGCACTGCAACAACTGCATTCTGATCAAAGGAGAAATGAGAGCCCAGTTTTTTGATTCTCATCATTACATTATTAAATGCAAAGAACATTCTACAGCATTTTATTATTCCTGCTTGTTAACAACATAGCTACATATGCCATCATTTAGATCTCTATACAGAGTATAACCAAGTCTTCTATATGACCATATGCTGCTACCAGAAGAGAATTAGTGAGTAAAAAAGAATATAAAAAGCCTAGCTTGGATTTCTAAATGCACATATATTAAATGTAACATTTGTCATCAAACTATATCCACTTCAGAGACTATCAGAGTAAAAAATATTCTATTGTTTTGGTTTGGTTTGGCTTTTAACTGCTAGATATATTGCACAATATCGATTTGGTCTGGGAGATTTCCTCTCTTGAACACTTCTCTAAGATAAACAACTACAAGCTAATGTATTTCTAAGGTGACCCTGGACCACAGTTGTTTCCTGACAGAAACTGTTAATGTGGATTTAAGGGAGAAAACACATATGAATAAATTAATATGAAAAACATTACACAGATGTAACCACTCCCCAAGAAACATGATGCAAACACAGAAACTTACCATTAAGTTTAAGCTCAAGTGCAATCAAGTGTATTTCAAAGATATTTCAGGCCTACCAAGACATTCTAGACAGGCTGACAAACTCATCCCTTTCCAGAAATTGCATCCCTTCCTGATACATGTTTCTAAAGCACTGCCACACTGCACACTGTGGGCTGCTGCCCCATCCTGGCAATGTGTTCTCACCAACTCTCCCTTGTCAGCTCATGTGGCTAGCCAGCAAGTCAGATCAGCAGCAGAAAATTAGTCACCACCTGGAGTGGGCCTGGTTTTCATCAGACAAATAAACTGATCTAAATAAACCACAAGGTAGATGCAATAGTAACAAGTCAAAGGGGACACTCAAGAGAGAATGAAGAGGAAGACAGATTCCCCCTTTCAGCTAAAAATCTCATATACTGTAGCAAAAAAACTGCACCTTAAGAATTCCAGACAATGCACTTTTTAGGTTAACAGTTCTTCCAAACATCTGGTTAACAATCACAAAATAAAGAAATGGATTTCAAAAAGTCTTGGGTCTACATTATCTTTAAGCACATCTACCTGCCTGCTCAGTGAAAAGGTAAAATGGCCAGGAGCTTATGTTCATGGACATACATCAATAAAAGAACCCAAAGAGAGGAAATAAGTACTTTTCCATCTACACCACCTCAGTCAAGCAGAAGTAACAAGAAAAACACCCGCAAAGCCTTCTTAAAACCACAAAAGCAAGACAATAAATCACATCATTCAGTTCTCAAACCCAGGAAATTTCTCAGAAAATGTGAGGCTTTTGCAACAACTATCAGCTTGACACATCAGGGGTTGACAACTGAGTCATGAAAGGGGAGATCCTGGAGACCAGAAGATGCACTCAGTGCAGAACATGAACAAGAGCCAGGAAAGGAGAACTGAACATAATGGAAGAGCGCAATGCAATGCCTCCGACACAATCAAAAGGTTCTGAAATTTTTATGTCATGCAACCGAAGAAGAAAAATGCCAATAACAGCTCTGAAATTAGCTGTTTCAGATGCAGCACTTAGTACTTAGTGGTGCATAAATTGCACTGACCTGCAAGGCCCACTACAGAAAATACTCAGCACCCCATGCGCCTCATGCAACTATGCAGAGCTAACTTCTGGTAAAGACTGTGAAGTTTGAGCATGTCAGTGAATGTCTGAACGGAATTAAGAGTAAATGGAGTGGAAAAGATTATTTCAAATCACTAAGCACAAAGATATTTTATCTAAAGCGAAGATTAAAAGCTTGAATTCTACAAAAACAAAAGTGGTATGCAAACCTTCCTGCCAAACCAAGAGCAATGTGATTCCAATTATTTTAAATCACCTGCTCCATGCCTCAGGGATCACTGCAGCAATAGAGGAGATGGACAACCAGTACCAAATATGGCTATTTATTACTATAAAGAAACAACAGGATAATGATGTCCCTTCGGTACTCCTGCTGGGGCTCAGCTTTCCCCAGAAGCTGACCCCAAAGAATGAGCATCTGTGAAGGGAACAATTGTACATCAACTACAACACATTTCTGCAGATCAACATCAGTGCACTGCTCTGGAGGTGACCTTAAATATATTCCAGTGATTTTCATTTCAAATAGGGCAAATATCTTAACCACCAGTGAAACATTTACAAGCTATGCACTTTCTTGAATAATCAAACTAACAAGAATTTGAAATGGAAAAATTTAGACATTTTCTTCACATTGTGTATAATTAGCTGAGTATTGAAAGCAGCAGAGCAACATGATGACTAATATTTTTCCTCAAAACATGAGGAAAAATAATTAAAAATGTGTTGTGATGCAATGTGCAATTCCTCATAACATGTTTCTTCCTTGAGAAGTAGCCTTAATAAAGCACTTGGATGCTTTTTAATAAGTTTTGCTGGAAGAGATTACAAAAATTTCTGTCAAAAAGGAACATTCTCGTAAAAAAAATTCAGGAGAAAATCCTATTTATATGTTTGTCCTTTGATGTAAAAAAATTCTATTTACCACTATATATAGCATTGTAGTTTCTAATTAAAAGACTCTTATCAATTTTGTAGACTTGAAAGAAAGGCATCAAGAGAATCTAGAGATAAAATAACACAGGATGTTACAGGAAGAAAAAACTTTAAAAGTGTGCTTCAGAGCTTGTAAGAAAAATGAGATTTTATAGCAAACATTTCATGAGTCAGTCACATTTACAAAATAATAGATTCCTTAGATATTAATTTAATTTCCCCCCAATTTAATAGAAT